AGGAGAAGGAGGAGGAGGACTCGGGAGAGGAGGAAATACATGTTGTGTTATGGGCAGCAAATACGGAGCAGTAGTTTTCTCGCAGGGGACACCTGGAAGCAGTATCCTCTCCCAGACTGTGCCAACTGCCGCAGTTGCTGCTGAGGAGCTTGGTGTGCACGCTGGTATGTGCTGTCAGTGCACAGCCCAGGGCTCACACCTCTGCCGCGGCCTTCGTTTCCTGTTCTTCGGGGTCCCGGGGTCAACCTGTGGACGGTCCCTAGGCACTCAGCTTTCCTGGACAAGTGCCCATAGCCAACTAGATTGCCAGGGTCACCTGGGAGCTTCGCAAAGCCCCCATGAACAACTGTAGGTTTTCTGAAGATTTGGGTTAGCCGGTTGTTGGCCCCCAACTGTTGCGCAGTCTCAGGCAGCTGCAGTGGCAAACAATGGCCTCGAGAGAAAAGTCTGTTCACAGGCTTTTCAAAGTCAGGTCAAGACAGGAATCCCACAGGCGGAACTTTCTGTGGGACAGCCGTGCAGGTAACACGGTGACAGTTCTCTGTGAGCCCTTCCGGCCCCTTCTCTATGCTGTTGTTTTTTGGGAAACTGTGGAGCTGAAGAGAACAGGATGGAAACTGGGACAGTTACACACTCTACGGCCACTGACATCCGGTTTCCCAAACAGGTGCAGTGTTTGATTAGGTGCTGGCGTTCTCAAAGTGTTGATTGTGACTCTCAAAACACTGTTCTTACTGCTTTTATGGAGAAGAGGAATCTCGGGGGCCTCCACTCTGCCACTGCTGATGACACCACCACACAGCATCCTCTGCAGCCGTGTGTCACCTCACTGCTATTGATGTTCCTTTTTACTTCAGAATGACATATTTTAAATACGCTTAAATGTACACAATTCCATTTATGAATATGGAATATGATTAAAGTCATATATGACTATCCATTGTATATTATGTATGTACACATATAATATATAATACATACATATCATATAATATGTATTATATATTTGTATTCTGTTTTATATGTTTCTATATATGATAAGTATACATATGTAATCATGGCTTTAAATGAAGAATATATACACATATATTAAATGTGTATATATCTATGCACATATATGCATCTATCCATGTATTATGTGTTTAAACATATATATATATATATATATACACATATATATGCATACCACTTTAAATGAAAAACCAGTACTGTTTGTTCCACATAGAGCCTTGTTCTACTTAGGCAAACAGGGAACCAGAGGTGTAAGATGATAAATTTAATCTTTTGACAGGCTCTCTGGGCTGCCCAGTTCCTGAGCTAGAGGCTGGCATTCTCTTTGTGAACCCTGGAAACCAATAACAGGAAGTCAGAAACAATGAATCCTGGCAGTGAATGGACCTTTTTCTTTTAGGGAGCCAGGAGAGACAGAGACAGGGAAGGGAGGCCCATTCCTGTTCAGTTTGTACTGTGATAGATTTCAAGTGGGGGTCTATCTCAGGGTCCCTGTCCCTCACACTTGACCCTAAGCACCTTGAGAGATCTCCCTGAGTGCCTACGTTCAGCATAGTGCCTGCTGAAACCAGGAAGATTCTTTTGAGCTAGCTGAACACGGTACAGAGCATGCCATTGGTACCTTCCAAGAAAGCGAAGTCAGTGTCTTCAAGATTCACTGACCACAGGCTCAGACACCAACCACTCCCTGCACTTAGATTTGGTATCTTTTGGACTGCTGCAAATGGGAGTTGTCCTCCTTACTGGTTCAAAGATTTAATCTTTCTTTTTAGAACTCATAAAGAAAACTATCATCTCTGATTCCCCTACTCAGGGCCCATGGAAGAGGGTCTTAGATGCATATGAATGCATGGTGTGTGTTTGTGTTGAGTGTGTGGGAGCACATGTTGCGTGTATGCATGGTGTGTGTGTCTGTGTTGAATTTGTGTGTGCACATGGTGTGTGTATGTGCACAGTGTGTCATGATGTGTGTGCATGGTGTGTATGTGTGCATGGTGTGTGTGTGCATGGTGTATATGTGTATAAATGTGTGGGGGTATGTTTGACAATGCTCTGAGACTCACTTAAAAAGGAACATCTAATTGACATATTGTATTTGTATCTATGTCCTCAACATCTAGTCCACCCAGGCCCACGAATAGCCTTCAATTTTCCTTCAGGCTCTAGCCACTCAAGACATACTCCCCTGGGCAAGTGTTGAGCATGACAGCCAGGCTTGACTCCAATCAATGCAGCAATGCACCCTAGCCATGGTGATTGACACAGTGAGAAGCTTGGGATGCAATCAGAGATGAAATAGTTGTTCAGGGATACTGCCAAGGAGGCAGGTGCTCTTCCCATACTGACCTGGAACTTGAGAGGATGAAAGGTCTGGAGCAATGTCAGCCATCTTGTTGCCATGGAGTTGAGTGTGTTTATTAAGATCTTTCAGAAGGAGAGAAACTAATGCAAGATAGGTGTCAGATCAATTAATAGATGATGGATAGGTATGTGGATAGAAGTTGATGATTAGATAGATAGATAGATAGATAGATGATAGATGGATGGATGGATGGATAGATGATAGATAGATAGATAGATAGATAGATAGATAGATAGATAGATAGATAGATAGATAGATAGATAGATAGAGATAGAAGGCATATGGAGGGTATAGACACAGATAACAGGTAGATGATAGATTGGTAGAGGGTAGAGGGAAAGTTAGAGAAATCGGGTCATCAGGTCACAGTATTATCAATTAATCAAACCTCTGTACCCAGGAAAACTGGATTTTCTCCTTAGGTGAGCTGATGATAAACTCTTTTCGTTTAAACAAATTTGAATTGGAGGTAAGAGTTCTCTAGTTTTCATTGTGACTTACAGACAATGTGGAATGAAAGAACATCAAAACTTGGGAGAATCTTTGAGAAATGGCTTTAAAATGTTTATTTCAGTGCTTGAGATGGAGCCCAGAGCCTCGTGTATGTCAGGAAAGCATCTGGTACAGAGCTATCTATGTCAGCAGCCATGAGAAGTAACCGAATTGAACCAGAGAGCACTTACCGGCCACCACACCATGTCCCCTCCAGCCAGGAAGTAGCCTTTCACTGTGTCTCTCTTGGTTCTCACCATGGACTGGAAAGGAGAAGCGGAGTAGGAGAGCATCAACATGCAGGGGCATTTGCAGCAGGAAGAGGCTGCAAACCGGGAATCCAGCAGCAGACCACATTCAGACATCAAATACACTGTGTCTGAATAAAACTTACTGCGATTGTCTTTAAAGGGGACCTATGCTCTCTGGCTAGTTCCTGCTTTCTGCTTTAATGATATGACACAATCCTGTAGACATTTGAGCTGCAGACCCATTGCTTGTCAAAGACAGCTCATAATGGATTTCATTGTTTTCCATGTTCCAGATGCTGTCTCTGTGAGGCATTTCATAAGCAGTAACTAATTTTTAAATATATTTTTTGAGACAGAGTCTCATTATGTAGCCCCAGCCAGCCTGAAACTCACTATAAGGACCAGATTAAACTCAGACTCACAGAGAGCCACATGCCTCTGCCTCCTGAGTGCTGAGATTAAAGACATGCACCATCATGCCCAGCCAGCAGTAGCTCATTTCAATCCACGCCTGCCCCTTTGAGGTTGCTGTTTGGGGAACAGTGTCACAGGTGAAGAGACTGAGGCCCAAGCCCCAGTCCATCCATGCAGCATGTGACTGTAACAAAACACCCAAGTCTACGGAATCTGTAAACATCAAAAACATATTTCTTATAGTTCTGGAGGCTTGAAGTCCAAGGTCAGGGTGCCTGCAGGTTCAGCCCTGGAGATAGCGGGTTCCTCTAGATGGAGCCTCTACTGTGTCCTCCCTCACATGGAGAGCAGAAGGGCAGAAAAGGACTAGCAGGTCTCTCGTTTTCTTTCATAAGGCCTCATGCTAACTGTGAGGCTCCACTCTCCTAGCAATCACTTCCTGAAGACCTGCCTCATGACACCATCACACTGTTGACTAACTTCCAATGTAAAGTTTGCTTGTTTGGGTTTGTTTTGTTTTGTTTGTTTTGTTTTGTTTTGAGACAGGGTCTACCAGTAGCCCCAGCTGGCCAGGAACTCGCTATATAGACCAGGCTGGCCTCCATCCCACAGAGATCTGCCTGCCTCCTAAGCGCTGTGATTAAAGGTATGTGCCACCACCTCCGACTTCCAACGTAAGCTTTGGTGGGAGAAGTATGCAGTTCCTATTTTTAGACAGAATCTCAGGTAGTCCAGGCTGGTTGCAAATTCACTATGTAACTGAGGATGACCTTGAACTGATCTTCCTCCCTCTACCTTCCAAGTGTTGGGATTACAGGTGTGTGCCACTATGCCCAATTTAAGTAGTGCTAGGGACTGAACCTAAGGCCTTATGCATTCTAGACAAATACTCTACCAACCAAGTAGTTCTTTTTTATTTTAATTAAATTTATCATTTTGTGTGTGTCTGTGTGTGTGTCTGTGTGTGTCTGTGTGTGTCTGTGTGTGTCTGTGTGTGTCTGTGTGTATACGTGTGTGTGTCTGTGTATGCCTGTGTGTGTGTCTGTGTGTGTGTCTGTCTGTGCATGTCTGTGTATGTGTGTGTGTCTGTGTATGCTTGTGTGTGTGTATGTGTGTGTCTCTGTGTGTGTCTGTGTGTGTATGCCTGTGTGTGTATGTGTCTGTGTGTGTCTATGTGTGTGTATGTGTGTGTCTGTGTGTGTATCTGTGAGGTTGATGTTGAGTATCTTACATGATTGCTCTCCACCTTATTTTTTAATTTTTTAAATTTTATGTGTATGTGTGTATTACCTACATGTGTGCAAGTGCACCCATGTTGTGCAATGCCTGCAGATGTCAGAAGAGGGCATCAGATTCCCTTGGACCTGGAGTTAAGAGCAGTTCTTAGCTGCCATGTGTGTGCTGGGATAGAACCTGGGTACTCTGCAAAAGTAGCCAGAGATCTTAACCACTGAACCATCTTTCCAGTCCCATCCACCTTATTTTTTGAGACAGGGTCTCTCATTGAGTTCAGAGTTTACTGACTGGCAAACCTGCCTAGCCAGTGAGTTCAGGGGATCTGAATATCTCTATTCCTCTCTCCCCAACACTAGGGTTATAGATGCACAACATCACCCCTGGATTTTTCAAAAGAATTAGTTTCTATTAAAAAAAATTTGGTATGTGATCATAGTGTATACGTATGTTTGTTGTGTATGAACATGTGTGCATGCGGGGGAAGCTAGCTCTTAGTCACCATGCATAGGGATGGAAGCAAGTTCTAGAGAAAGGCCCAAGCATCTCAACTGAGATGATGTGTATATGTTATTTAGGACCATGCCTGGCACATGGAGAGTACCTTCTGTGTGTATGTATGTGCACTTGCATTGAACATGTGAGGTTCATGGCACATGTGGAGGTGAGGGGCCACCTTGTAGGAATCATTTCTCTCCTTTTACTGTGTAGGTTCTGGGGACTGAACTCAGGTTATTAAGCTTGGCAGCAAGCTCCTTTGCCCACTGAGCCACCTTGCTTGCCCCTTGTCCTATGGAAGGGTATCAGATTCACTCATTATAAGTGAATGTTAGCAATGTACTGAGATACCTTTTTTCTTGTCAGGTTGACAAAAGTGAAACACTTGACAATACATGGTTATTGAGAGTGAAAACAGGCTGTCATTCATTGCTGCTGTGGGTACAGACTAAAAATCCACCTAAGGGCACTCTGACAGGAGCTGACATGTTACAAAAGCATATATTTTTCAACCTGACAATGTTACTATTCAAAATGTGTCCTGCACTATGGCTGCCTCCAAAATAATAAGTGTGCAAAGTTGTCTCATTACAAAATTATAGTAAGAAGCAGGGAACAGAAGCCCAAATGATTCTTAGCACAGCATCTGTTAAATAAATCACAACATAATCATCTAATGGAATACCGTGCAGCTTTTAAGAAAATGAAGATGCCTCGATGTACTGATCTGAAAGATACCTAGGAGACAGTGACAGGTGGGAAAATAGCAAGGCGAAATTGTGTGATAAGCTATCTCCACTGTAAGAAAGAGGGAGATGTACATACTAATGTCTGCTTTGGCTGGGCATGGTGTCACATCTCTGTAATCCAAGCACTCAAGAGGCTGAGGCAGGAGGATTAGGAGTTTATGTGGGTGGTTACATAACAAGATATTATCTCTAAAGCACATGCGTACACAGCACGTTTTATATATATATGTATATGTATATGCACATACACATACATAATGTTTTGATTTGCATTTAAAAATTGGAATGCATTAATGACCAGCATTTCCAGTGCTAACAAGTTCATAACGGGGCTCACTTATGGAGGGTCACAGAGGAACTTTATACTGTATGCACTAAACTATTTTAGTTTTGAACCATGTGACTGTATTAACTTAAAATCCATTCTAGCTACAACTCTCTTGACTTACTAATAGAGTTTCTTAATCTGTAAAGTGGATATGAGATCTTCCTTGAAGGGCTGGGGAGAGAGCAAAGTGGTTAAGAGCACTTCCTGCTCTTTCAGAGGACCTAAGTTCAGTTCCCAGCACCCACACTGAGTGGCTGACAACTGCCTGTAAGTCCAATTCCAGGAGATCCACTTTTCACCTCCTCAACTCTCTTGACTTACTAATAGAGTTTCTTAATCTGTAAAGTGGATATGAGATCTTCCTTGAAGGGCTGGGGAGAGAGCAAAGTGGTTAAGAGCACTTCCTGCTCTTTCAGAGGACCTAAGTTCAGTTCCCAGCACCCACACTGAGTGGCTGACAACTGCCTGTAAGTCCAATTCCAGGAGATCCACTTTTCACCTCCTTTTTGGGCCTCTGTGGATACCCACACACATAGGCACATACCCACGCACAGACACACAAATGAAAAAATCTTTAAATAAACTAAGAAAAATCTTGTTAATGCATACTCGTTTAACCCAAGGCCTGACACTCAGCCAACACAATGCATTTTTAAAAATCAAAAGATACATACATATATGTTCATTTTTGTAGTGGTGGAGATGAAACTCGGGGCCTCCCACATGCTAGGCACATGCTCTAACCACTCTTCTACAGCCCAGCACCCAGCTCTGATTGTTCTCCGGTTATGAACTAGTTTTTTCCTCTCAGTAGGTCTGTATCCTATTTTCCAAAACAATAGGGTTTACTCCGGGTTTCTAATATGACATTTCTCCTTGTCCCATTCCCTCACATCACCACCTGGCTTACCCATAATCCAACAGCCAGGACAAAGAGGAAGTACAAAACCAGCACAGCAATGTCCTCTGGCTCCAGGCTCTTCTGGGGAAAGGCTTCCAGGGCGTCAGACTTCAGAGGCTGAGGGTTGAGGGTGCCTCTCTCCATGGTGCTGAAAAAGACTATCAGTCCTGGGGAGAGCAAAGAAGTGGCAGCTTCCAGGTCCCAGAGCACCCTCTCCTCACCCTCTCTGTGGCTGTCTCCCTGGGGCATCTGGAAAAGACGACCCCCCCCCCTTCAACTATTCACTTGGAAAAATATAAAGATCTTTTAGTTTTCTTTCAATTGTCATGATAAAGTACTTTTACCAATACCAACTTGGGGAGGAAAGGGTTGATTTAGCTTACAACTCCCAGGTCACAGCTCATCAGGGAGCCCAAGGCAGGAACTCAGGTCAGGAACCTGGAGGAAGGAGCTGGAGCACAGGCCATGGAGGAATGGAACTCTGCTTACTGGCTTGCTCCTCTGGCCCCCATTCAACCTGTTTATTTATACAACATAGGCCCACCTGCCCAGGGGTAGCACCACCCACAGTGGGCTGGGCCCTCCCATATCATAATCAAGATGCCCCACAGAGATGGCCACAAGCCAGTCCAATGGGGGTAATTCCCCAGTTGAGCTCCCTTAACCCAGATGTGTCAAGTTGACCCTAAAGCTATCCAGCACAAAAGAATAATCAATTAAAGTGGTACACACTATGCTGGGCATGGTAGTACACACCTGTAATCCCAGCACTCAGGAAGCTGAGGGAAAAGGATCACTGAGTTTTAGGCTAGTCTGGCAAATAGCGAGATGCTGTCTAAAATATATGTAAGTACAGAAGGTTCCAGCATCCTCTTCTACTTAGTAAAATGAGACACAAGAGTCAGCTTCCATTCAAGGTAGTCTCAGCTGGATGAGAGTCATGCCATGGACTGCCCAAGGCTCAGTCAGACACCATAATCTTGTTCTAATGCTGCCTATGCTCATAAATTGCATGTATTTAATACACAGCTATGCAGCACCTACTGCATGCCAGGAATCACTCTAAGTGTTTACTCTCCTGCAAAGTGGCCAAGTCATTATCATCCTTTTTTTGTAGGAGGAGTTAATACAGAGAAAGGTTAAGTAATCTGCACAGCTCAAGGGGCAGAATCTTTGTTCCAGAATCCACACTTAGAACTGCTTTTAGAAGCTTTTTCTCTTGAGATTGCACTTCCATGGTCAATTTAAAAGATTCCTGCGATACACAGAGTAACGGCCCCAAGGGTGTTTATATTTAACCTCTAGACCCTGTTACTGTGAGATAAAGTTTGCAGAGAAATAATGATGTTAGTCAGCTGACTTCAAAATAAAGTGGTGGGCCGGATCACCTGGAGGAATTTAATGTAATCACAGGGATACTGACTTTGGAGTGCAGCAGAGAGGTGACAGCATAAGAAGGATTTGGCTCAGCATTGCCAGCTTCGAAGATAGGATGATGGGGCCCTAGGGCCTACAGAAGGAATTCATCCCTGCTGAGACCTCTGTGTATCTGTGTGTGTCTGTGTGTCTGTGTGTGTGTGTGTGTGTGTCTGTGTGTGTGTCTGTGCGTCTGTGTGTGTGTCTGTGTGTGTGTGTCTGTGTGTGTGTCTGTGTGTATCTGTGTGTGTCTGTCTGTGTGTCTGTGTGTGTCTGTGTGTATCTGTGTGTGTCTGTGTGTCTGCCTGTGTGTGTGTCTGTGTGTGTGTCTGTCTGTGCATGTCTGTGTATGTGTGTGTGTCTCTGTGTGTGTGTCTGTGTGTCTGTGTGTGTGTCTGTGTATGAGCATGTGTTCTTGTGGTTGTGTGGGTGCATGTGCCCAGAAGTGCTCATTGGCCAGAAGTCAACATCAGGTGTCTTCGTGTCTTCCTGTGTCACTCTCCACCTTATTTTTTGAGACAAATTTTCTCATGGAACCTGGAGCTAACCAATTGGCTAGCCTGGCTGGTCAGTAAGCCACAGAGATCAGCCTGACTCTGTCCCTCCCCAAGACCCCAGAGCCAGAACTAAAGGCATGCACACCCAATTTTATACATCAGTTCTAGGGATCTGAACACAGGCCCTCATGCTTGCACAGAAAGTACTTTACCCACTGAGCCATCTCCTCAGTCATCTGCTGACACCTTGATTTGAGCTCAGAAGACTCATCTGGAACTTTGCATTCCAGAACTATAAGATAGTAAATGTGTGTTGTTTTAGCCACTGGCTCTGGATAATTTGCTGCAGCAGCAATCAGAAACTAGCAGAATCCCTGAATATGGTTCTGGATCCCAAGTGACTGGGGCACAGACAGATTTAGCCTATACCACGTCATCCTCAAGGTCTGGAATGACAGGTATCAGTCCCTACCATTCATGGTGTGAAGCTCAGTCCTGGGACAAAGCTCCCACAGAGAGAACACCACTGTGACTGTCTGTGTGGTACTAGATGCAGAAAGACATATCAGATCTTTTAAGAATTCAAGTTCTGGGGCTTGGGGGATAGCTCAGTTGGTAAAGTGTTTGCTACACAAGCATGAAAAGCTGAGTTTGATCCCCAGCACCATGTAAAAAATAACAAGAAAAAGCCAGGCATGGCAGTGCATACTTGTAGTCTCAGCGCTGGGGAGGCAGAGCCAAGAGGATCTCTGGGGCTTGCTGGCCAGTCAGCATAGCCTAATTGGTTAGCCGCAGGTCCCAGTGAGAGATACTATCCCAAAAACTTTCCTGGAATGGATAGATGGCTCAGCATTTAAGAGTACTGGCTGCTATTGCAGAGGACCGGGTTTGATTCCCAGCACCTCCATGGCAGCTAATAACAGTCCGTAACTCCAGTTTCAGGGGTTATGACACCCTCTTCTGGCCTCTGTGGGCATTGCCCACACATGGTGCACTTACCTGCAGGGAAAACACTCATACACATTAAAAAAAAACCTCTTTCCTGAGGCTGATCTCTGGCCTCCATGTGTATGCACACGTGCAAATGTACCTGCTCACACATGTGTACCCCAACACACATGAGCATGTCCACAGACCAAAAGAAAAGAAAGAGAATTCAAGCTCTGAGGTCACATAGTTGGCTACAGTCCTTACTAGTCCTGAGAAGTTTCTTAACCTGTACAAAACAGGGCGATGAAAGTTTGTGCTTCACAGATTACTGAGCACTCTTACCTGTGAAGTATTGTCTTTTTTTTGAGACAGGATCTCACTATGCAGCAGTTGACCTTGAACTTTCAGCCCTATTTCCTCAGGATCTCCAGTGCTGAGGTTACAGGGATGTGCCACCAAACCTAGCTGCATGTGACATGCTGAGTGGAGCACCTTGCATTTCCTGTGCCCAGAATATTATAGCCACCACTACCGTCACTACTTTCTATACATTTATTTCTTCCTCTAAGATATAGTGAGGAGGGGTTGGAGAGATGGCTCAGTGGTTAAGAGCACTGGCTGCTCTTCCAGAGGACCTGGGTTCAATTCCTAGCACCCACATGGCACCTCACAACCTTTCATAACTCCAGTTGCAGGGAATCCAACACCTCCTCTGACCTCCACAGACATTGCACAACACAGGTGCACTTACATACATGCAGGCAATACATTCATACACATAAAACAGTAATAAATAAAAAAAATTGGGGGAGGTCTTTTTGAGACAGGGTCTCCTTGTAGCCCCAGCTGTCCTGGAACTCACTATGTAGACCAGGCTGGCCTTGAACTCACAAAGATCTGCCTGACTCTGCCTCCCAAGTGCTGGGATTAAAGGCATGCACCACCACACCCGGCCCAATAAAATATTTTTTGAAAAGATATAGTGAAAGCAGGACACAGTGGTGCTTGCCTTTAATCCCAGCACTTGGGTGTGATTAAACCACAAGACTCTGACCAAGCACAAAGTAGAGAGGAGGGAGGCAATGCAATACAAGCCAGACATGAAGGAGACAGATGCTGCCAGTTCTGTGATGTTATTTAAAGGATTTTAGAAGGCCAGTCATTTTCCTTTTAAAAATATTTTATTGGCTGGGTGTGGTGGCGCACACCTTTAATCCCAGCACTCGGGAGGCAGAGGCAGGCAGATCTCTATCAGTTCAAGGCCAGCCTGGTCTACATAGTGAGTTTCAGGACAGCTGGGGCTACAGAGAGACCCTGTTTCAAAAAGATATATATTTATGTGTGTGTGTGTGTGTGTGTGTGTGTGTGTGTGTGTAATCTGAATATTGTTAAAGGCATTGTTCTACAACTTTTTTTTTAATAGGAAAAATTCCCTTGGGTAGTTCCACATCTGAAGTTCTTTTTCCGAGTATCATGTGACTGGCAATTCCCTGATTCATTTTACTTTTTACTACAGGGGACAGCAGTTTGCTCAGCAGATACAACAGTGTCTCAAAAAGATCAAAAAATATTTTTATTTATTATTTTTATGGGTATGAGAGTTATGTCTGCATGTATGTAAATGCACCTGTATTGTACAATGCCCATGGAGGTCAGAGAGGGTGTCAGATCCCTTGGAACTGGAGTTATGGATGGTTGTTCACTGCCATGTAGGTGCTGGAAACCAAACCCAGTTCCTCTGCATGAGCAGCCAGTGCTCTCAATTGCTGAGTCTACTGCAGCCCCTGAAAGCCAACTATTTTCAACACATCAGGCACTGTCCTCTGTTTTTAGGAAATATTTTGAAATGCCCTTTTACTGAATACTGAAAGGATATTCATAGCTACTTCTCTAAATAAAAAGAAACCAATTTCTGAACAACAGTGAAGGCCTCCAATATGTGAATGTTCTCACCTAATGCTACTGGAAGACCTAGGGGGTCATGGGGCTCTTTCCCTTATCACATGAAACAAGTTTTGAATGTAAGAAAAATAAGAAAGTGAGAAGCCATTCCATCGCAGAAGCACAGGATAATCATTCAATCACTAGAGCTTAATTAAGGTTAAAGGGGATATCAAAATAGAAACTAGTGGAGTTAGAGAGATGGCTCAGTGGTTAAGAGTATGTACTGCTTTTGCAGGGAACCTGAGTTCAATTCCCAACACCTACATCTGGTGGCTCACAACACCTGCAACTCCGATTACAGAGGATCTAGCACCGTCTTCTGGATTCTACAGGTGCACATGCACAAACCCACACTCA